GGATTTTGTGTTTCTGATTAGTTTTATATTAGTTTTGGATTAGAAGATACTTTATTTGAAGCTTTGTGTTAGAGGAAGCAGCTGATTGTTTTGTAAAACAATTGGATTATATCTGGTTTGTGGATAAAATGTTAATGAAGACGATAATTCTTATCTTTTAACTATTTAGTTCAGAAAAAATAGTCAATTTTTTTGCTTGATCGAAAACAATCTAAGCAATTTGCCTTTGAGAGCACGATAACGCATACTATATATCCATGTGTTTTCTTCATTAAAAATAATATTTTTTTAATGATTAAGACGACATTACGAAAAGAAAGAGCAAGAGCACAAAAATATAAAAATATACTTCTTTCATTTTGATTTATGTGGTGTATTTAATTAAAGTATACTTTTTTTCATTTTGATTTATGTGGTGCATTTAATTAAAATATACTTCTTTCATTTTGATTTATGTGGTGTATTTAATTAAAGTATACTTTTTTTCATTTTGATTTATGTGGTGCATTTAATTAAAATATACTTCTTTCATTTTGATTTATGTGGTGTATTTAATTAAAGTATACTTTTTTTCATTTTGATTTATGTGGTGCATTTAATTAAAATATACTTCTTTCATTTTGATTTATGTGGTGTATTTAATTAAAGTATACTTTTTTTCATTTTGATTTATGTGGTGCATTTAATTAAAATATACTTCTTTCATTTTGATTTATGTGGTGTATTTAATTAAAGTATACTTTTTTTCATTTTGATTTATGTGGTGCATTTAATTAAAATATACTTCTTTCATTTTGATTTTTATGGTGTACTTTGATTACACATATACTTTTTTTAATTTAAATTTATCTAACTTAGTTTGACTGAATGTTGATATAGATTTTATCACTTTTCATACGTTAGAAAATTTTATTTGAGAAAAGAAAAGTTATGTATTAACAAAATTTGGGTTCATAACTATATGTTTCAACTTTCAATATACATGATCTTGATAAAATTAAATCTTTAAAGTTAAATTCTTATTTTTTTAAAATTTAAAAGTTAAATTATTTTAAAACTTATATAATGATTTTTCTTAAAAAATTGAAAAAATAATATCAAATATAATTAAATGAAAAAGATAAGAAATTCATCTGCTTTTCAAATGTTAAAGGTTGAAAAATATCTTCCTTTTGCTATACTCCTTAAATAATTAAGAGTTTAGATTTTAATTAGGACATTAATGATTATTTATTTTTATTTAAATATAAAATAAATATACATATTTATCTCGATATATGTTGTTTTAACAGAGATATATTAATAATTTCAATTTTAATAATATTGGGCCCGTGTCACGGGCCATTTCCTTCCTCTAGTTACTCTAATAAGAGGGAGTTTTCATGCCAAAGCAAACAAAAAAGTAATTTCACTAATTTAGTACTTAAGATTATTTTTAAAAAAAAAAACTTGTTCACACTTTCATAAGAAAATTTTAAAAAATAAAATAATTGTACAGATAAAATGAGAAAAATATAATTAATTTTGATTTTGATTTTGTAAATTGACAAGAGACAACCATTACTTATAATGTAAATAATTAATATGAATTAAAAAAAAATAATTATTCTTTAATATAATTCTTCCATATGATATATACAATCTTTTCAGATTAACCATGATTCTTTAAACAAATCTTTATTCTTAAATTTACTTTTAAGTATTAAAAATGTATAATAGATTGTCATAATAATAATTTAAGCATATAACTGACAAATTTATTTTTCCTATCTTTTGTAAATAATGTTGGGTAGGTAGAGGGGTTACATTTACATTTGGAGTACACGTTATGATTGTCTGCCACAAAAGAAAAAACACATGGAGTTCACGTTATAATTATCTAAAGGATGTTCGTTTGGATAGCTGATCGTAAATAATTGATAAATATTTTGCTAGATAATATATAAATATTTTTGAGATAATATTTTTCATCTCATTTCATTTTTATAATATTTTGCTAGATAACATATAAATGTTTTTGTAATAATATTTTTTTATTTATTTACTCAAAAATATTTAAAAAAAACTTTTTCTAATTAATTTTTTTTTGGTCGTGTAAGGCAATTTTTTTTAGATAATATGAATTGGAGGACTTATTAATTTTTCAATTTTCTTAAAAAAATAAAATAAATAGTGTAATTCACTAGATTTGACTTAATTACTCTATGACAATGATAGGTGGAAAGTTATTGCTTATTGTCTTCTTTAACATTGATGACACATACAGATTCATCAATTAATGAAACAGTAATGCAATCTTAAATGTGTACCTCTTTTTAAGTACAAAAATCCAAATCAAATTAGAATTGATATAAATTATGGTGAGATGATTGGTTTTTCTTTCATTTAGTTAAAACTTTTGGTTTTGAGTCTTTTGTTATTGAAAAGATTTTGTTAGGAGCCCTCCTCTGTATTCGAGAAATGAATCTTACAATAAAATAAGTGTATTCTAATTTAATTTAATTTTAATATAAATATTAAACACTGAGTAAGAAATAAAAAAAATTAATCCAAAAATTCTTGTCATTTAGTATATTTTGGAGAGTTAAAATTGTACTACTATTATTAATGATACTCATATTTAGATTATAAAAGATTAAGGAATATTCTTTGTTGTAAGGATTAAGAGAGTATGTTCTCGAAAGACATATGGCTCAAATAAAGCAAAACATAAAATTTAAGAAGATATAAATAATAACAGGAGTAAAAAAAAAAAAAAAAAAGATATACGAGACAAAGTAATAAATAAATAACAAAAATAGTACACTTATAAAGTAACAAAAATATAAAAAATAATACTATTATTATTAATTAGAGAACCAAAAACAACACTAACTACTATCAAGAGACGTGTTATTTATACTCAAGTTAGAAGGTTTGTCATGTCTTGTTTGAGCACTTTTCCTGATATTTCTCCTAAAACTCTTAAACGCTAACTTCTCACATTGAGGCATATATAGATATATTCGAATCATTTCAATCCAGGCTTTTCTATTTTATACGTTACGAAGGCCACTTTTATTTTAGCTCAAATATCTTATTTTTAATTATATCTTTCCTAATATGTCATATATTTATCTTAATATCCTTCTTTTCAATTATTTTATTAGAAAAATGCGAAAAATGTGAATTTAAATAACTATTTTGATAAATGAGAATAAATAATTTAAAATGGACGAAGTACATTTATAAGGTCTTTTAATTTCTCAAAAAAATAATCAGAAGTTAACAAATCTTTTTAGATATGCTAATAAATGCCTCCATATTTCCCAAGAAGACTAACATGGTTGTATGGTAAAGAGGTTCAACTTTATCAACCAGAGGTACAATGGAGTACTGATAAATATTCTTTCCTTCTTAATAAAAAAGTCTTGGATTTGAATCTCTTTAAATATGAAATCGTCTTTGTTAGGAAGTACTTTGCTCCTCGATGTGGGATTTTTTTATGAGAACACAAATTTAATGAGACTTCAATGTAGGTACAAGACATATATCGGGTGGGAACCAAAAAATAACAATTCAACTTTCACTTTAAATATGAACTAGAACATTAATTTCAAACCACTTTTTTAATTATATATTCGAAAACAGTAAATTTTACTTTAAGTCCTTTAATTTTTTGAATTTTCAATATTATATCTTTTTACCTTTTGAAAGGAATAATAAACTCACTTGATCTTAAATTAGTGATAAAAAATAAATAAACTCACTTGATCTTAAATTAATGGTAAAATATATACTCAATTGAGTTTGTACCACAAACGAATTGCTCTTTTCTTAATCAGAAATCTCAAATTTAAATAAAAAATGCTTCTCCTAAATAAAAATTTTATACGGTACAAATTCAAATTAATTAAACACTCCCGAATGTCGAACCAATAAAAAAACAAAACAAAAAAGTTTGTCCATCAAGTGGACTCAATAATGAAGGGACGAATGTGACAAGTGACATAATATAATAGTGAAAATTCGAAATAAGGTCGACAAGGGTAAAATTGTCAAATAAATATAATTTTAGTCCTAAAATAACAAAAAAGGGTTCATTATGATTTGGATAAGTTCAAAATTATCACTTGAATATATTCTCTTTTGTCAGAATTTATGTGTACGTGTCACTATCTAGGGAAGTAAATAATTTCTTATTTAATAATAATTTTAATTTTCTCAATCCTTTATTATGCATATTTTGAAACATTAATTATATTAATTTATAATATTTTTTTGAATAGTTTCTAAATATATAATATTTTATTAAAAATTTATACTCGAATTAAAAATCAGAATTGGATGTTTAGACTCTCATTTTTTAGTATTAAAGTTGAAAACTTGTTTTGATAAATTTAGCTCTTAAATTATGAAAAAAGGCTTTAGAATAAATTTTACATTTGAATATGTAAATTTTCTATTTTTTAAAAAATTTGGTTCATTTCTAAAACTAGAATCTAATGTAATATTTGCTATTTTTAGTGTCTGATGCAATTTATTAAATATGTTGCAATTTCTAACATTTTATGAGAGTTCTAAAAATATTTTTGGATTCTCTTCTTTTTTTTTACATTTTTGTAATAAAATGCATAATACAAAAACATCCTTAATTTGACTTCACCTCACATCTATGTATTTCAATTGTGTCCACACAATTAAGTACTTAAATTATAATAAAATTAAATAAGTAAACACATATCAAATCTCATGTAGGCAATGTGCATCTCATGCAATTTGCCATGTAGAATATGTGCACCTTACGCAATTACATGACGCGTGTACCTTAGGACACACGCGCATCTCATGTAATTTGTCATACAGGACAAGTGCGTCTCACGTAATTTGAGAAATATTTTTAAAAAATATAATATACACTAAGGTAGAGAGACTAGTTCCGATATAGGATCGAACTATTTTTGTCTTCTTTTTTTTCACATCAATCCTCCACACTTCAATTTTGGTAAAAAATATTATCAAGTTCCTGTACAAAACCCAAGAAAGAATCTTCCCCAAAATCCATTGTGGCCGTCCCAATATATACAGTTGGGTTTTTTACATCTCTCTGATTCCCTTTTTATCTCTTCCCCTTTTTCTCCTTCTTAAATAGGGTATATACCCCATTTTATGCCTATATAGCACAAGCCACCATAGCTAAATTTGGTGAATTTGATGATTTGGGTCGGTTAAAAATACGATCTTTCTAATACCCTTTTGAAATCTCAGCTCAGATTTGTAAGGTACCCCTTCAATTTTGTTTTCTGTTTGAAGGGTTCTTTAGTTTTCTCTTTCTTGTTGTTGTTGTTAATTGAATCTTGTTATCATCTGTTGTTTATGTTTATGGTGTTTCAGTTATTGCATTGTTGTTGCTGTTTTCTTATGAGTTGCTATGTTTTCTTTATTGTCATTTTCACTTTTCGTAACTACTTTGATTTGTTGTATTCGAGTCTGCTGTCTCTGGAAACAGCCTCTCCATTAGGCAGGGGTAAGGTATGACTCTCCACTTGTGGGATTTCATTTTGTTGTAATTGAATCTTGTTATCGTCTGTTGTTTATTGTGTTTTCGATAATTGCATTGTAATAAAAAAAAATTCATACCTTTTTTGATTTGGTATACTATACTTTGTGGAATTTCATTGGGTAGGTTGTTGTGGTAGTAATTGAATCTTGGGTTGATTAAGATATGTATGATGCACTTTTTAGGTGGGTTGGTAACTGACTTTTGGATTTTTGTGTTTGTTTATACTGCATTGGGAGAATTGTTTAAAGTCCTTTTGTTATCATTGTGTCAGCTTCTTTTTGCCTTACTTTTGGTCCTATCTTTGTTTTTAATGATGTGTATTTATTCCTGAATGTACTTTAAACATTGGGCTGATAAAATCTCATGATTTTCAGTGTATTTACATATACATATTCAGTTATATATCTGAAGTTTCTTTCAGTCAATAGGTTTTTCTTGCTGGTGTATAGGACATACTTATAGGGGTCAAGGTATGTGCATCAATTTCCCCCTTTGATTGCTTCTTTGTTAAATTTTGAAGTTGAAACTTCAAGTTTTGTGAGTGGAAGTCCCAGAAACCCAAAACCTCGTCTGAGCTAGTGTTTAGGACATACTATGACCAAACACTAGCGAATTCTGTGTTAATGCTTCATCTTGTTTTGTGTTATCTGCTCTTAGTAATTAAGTTTTAAGTTGTCTTTTACTGAGTGGTGAACTGAAAGTTGTATTGGTTCTTGTTGTTGGGAATTAGAATTTGGTTTCTTTGAGATTTAACACGTAATTTTCGACAGTTAGTTTGATTGTTAGGAACTTGTTCTGGAATTGAATTCCAAATGGGGATTGGTTTTGGTCTTTTGGTGTTGTTAATTGAGAGTTCAACTTGAAATAGACTTCAGTTTGGAAAGGTAAACATCATTGAGGTGTTGCTGTTTTATAGTGGAATAATCTATGGTGGCTTCATTGATTAAGGAATTCCTTGCTGTGATTGAGGAGTTTCCTTTGCCTCCTTATTTGTGGTTGGATATGGTTAGGAAATATTAAATTTTTTCTTTTAACTTTAAACTTAACTGGAGTTGAGAATTGTTACAAATCTCGAGTAGAAGGCTCTTTTTTTTTTTCCGAGTAGAAGGCTCATGCAATTGAATTGAATGAAATTTTGCACTGTTGCTGCTGAAATCTATATTAGTAGTAGTTGTTGTAGATCAGACTTATTGAGACTGAACTAAGTTTGAGTCTGGTTTTAGTTTGGAAAGTATTTAGTTCCACTGCTGTTTATTTTAATTAATGATTCTGGAGCTGCAAGGTTTGAATGAATCAATGCAGTAAAAACTTTAGATATGAACCATATATATGATATCCTAAACTTTAACGAAGTGTTAAATTTTGATTCCAGTATCTACGTGCAGTGTGCTATTTTCTATGAAAGTTTGGTCACATCATTATACTTGTGAAAATGTTCTTTGCTGTACATTGCTCCAACTAGATGAATGCCATAAGTTGAGGACTGATAATACGAACACCTTTGTTGTTAACTTTCTTCTTGTTGACATAGTCTATGTGGTGTAACATGTTCAGTTTTAATAGATCTCCGCAGAGGACTTTTCCAGTACCTCCAGTGTATCACTTGTATTTACTGAAACAAATCTACCGCTTGGCATTTGAAATCCCTAGATCCATGTTTATAGTTGCCTCCTCCTAGCTAGTGACACTGATAAATTTGTTTGAGCTGTGCATTTGTTGTTCTGTTTGTCGTTTTATGTATAAAGACAGAGTGCTACTAACTCTATCTGGGCTTATCATGATTTAGAATAAGCCAATGGCTCATATGGGACACATTAGACAGTTGGACTCATTTGGCTTGTTATTGAGTGACGATTTTATAAATCTGTTTTTCAGATGGATACGCAGAACCCGGAACATGGACGTGTAATTGAGGTAAGTGTTGACATAACAGGTCAAGAAAAGGGGACTAAAATCTGTGGTTCAGCACCGTGTGGATTCTCAGATGTTAACACCATGTCTAAGGATGCACAGGAGAGATCAGCATCCATGAGGAAACTGTGCATTGCAGTTGTTCTCTGCATCATTTTTTATGGCTGTCGAGGTTTGTCGGAGGTATTAAAAGCCAACAGTCTTGCAATTTTGACGGATGCGGCTCATCTACTGTCAGATGTTGCAGCTTTTGCAATATCCTTGTTTTCACTCTGGGCATCAGGATGGGAAGCTAATCCACGCCAGTCCTATGGTTTTTTTAGAATTGAGATACTTGGGGCATTAGTTTCTATCCAAATGATATGGCTTCTAGCTGGGATCCTTGTTTATGAAGCCATTGCCCGACTTATACATGATACAGGTGAAGTTAAAGGCTTCCTCATGTTTGTGGTGTCTGCGTTTGGATTAGGAGTGAACCTCATCATGGCACTCTTGTTAGGTCATGATCACGGCCATGGACATGGACATGGACACGGTCATGAACACAGTCATAGTCATGAAGAGCATGCTCATAGCCACAGTGATCATGAACACGGCCACGGTGAGCATACACATATACATGGAATTAGTGTTAGCCGACACCATCACCATAATGAGGGACCTTCGAACCGAGATCAACACATCCATGCACATGACACTGATCACACTGTGCCTCTACTTAAGGATTCCTGTGAGGGTGAAGGTGTTTCAGAAGGTGAAAAAAAGAAGAAGCAGCGGAATATAAATGTTCAGGGGGCTTATCTTCATGTACTAGGAGATTCTATTCAGAGCATAGGGGTCATGATTGGAGGAGCTATCATATGGTATAAACCAGAATGGAAAATCATTGATCTAATTTGCACTCTCATTTTCTCTGTCATTGTTCTTGCCACAACCATTAGGATGATTCGGAGTATTCTTGAAGTATTAATGGAGAGCACACCGAGAGAAATTGATGCAACAAGGCTTGAGAAGGGGCTTTGCGAGATGGAGGAGGTTGTTGCAATCCATGAATTGCACATTTGGGCGATTACAGTCGGGAAAGTACTCTTGGCTTGCCATGTCAAGATTAAACCTGATGCCGATGCTGACATGGTGCTGGATAAGGTTGTCGATTATATTAGGAGGGAATATAACATTAGCCACGTAACCATTCAAATAGAAAGAGAGTAGTGTGGAGGTAAAGTTTGTTTGGCTGTTGTACTGGTCATTTGCTTCTTTATTCTTTCGGATATTTGTTCAAACGGAAAACATCATCTGGCTAAGCGGTTCCAGTATCCGTTTCGTTTTAGTAAATCATGGTCTTTTAGCATGTTGGCTTGCTTTACTTCTCTCCTTTGTCCATGAAATCAATATCCTCAAGTTCAGTTTATGTTCTGTTTGGCTCTTAATTACAGCATAACACCATGGTTTGAAATAAAGTTGAGGTATCTAAGTATATCGTGTCCTTTTCATTCCGACGTTAATGTATGAGATGAAGAGTCAGCTTCCAATATTAAGTTTGTTGTTCCTCAATTGCTCAATGATAGACGTCAATTGTAAACCAATTGGTCATAGATTTGAATTCTACTTGGAGAGATTGTTTTAGTTTATATAGCTATTAGTACTTTTATAACTCGTACTATTTTATTTGAAAGTGAAATCATCCTTTACTCTCCACATGTATTTGAGGGTCATAGATGATTATCAGAGAGTGAAGGTTTGGGACTCAGACCACGATTGACTAGGACGGACTGTACACTGGTCTACAAATCGTAGATCCTGTCAATAGAAGAGGTCTTCGAGATTGATCAAACACTGCCTTCCACGAAAGGACTCCATGAGTCGTATAAGGGGCTACGATCCATATATCATGAGCCGTAGATATTATTGAACCTACTTTTTTTAGATTTGCTTTATTTAGGATTAGATGTCTATAAATACTTTTCTTAGGCTTTATTTTTTATTATTCATTCGTTTTTGGAGTTTGAGAATTATTAGCGAACTACTTTTGCTATAATTCTTGAATTCATTGACTTATAATATAATTTTTTATCTTTGATTATTACTTTGCAATTCAATTCAAGATTTTGGAATTCAAACGTTTATTTTGTAAGTTCATGATTTTTTTTAACTCAATTATTATGAATTGTGATCAAATAGTTATGAGTAGCTAATTCACTGGGATTATGGGAATTGGGAAAGATGAAGAATTAACAATGTAGACCTAATAACTAGTAATTCTTAAATAGTGTTCATGCATGTATTATTTTTCTGTCCGCTTTGATTGCTTTTTAACGGAGTCCTACGTTAGAACATGCCTTATTCTTACTCGCCGGATTAAGGGGGTAACGAATGGGAAAAGAGATTATGCAACGAAGATTTGAGGTTATTAACCCCATCTAATAGCTTGAACGGACCAAGGGATAACATATTTGGGATCAAGGGTAAGGGTTAGTTTATATAGCTATTAGTACTTTTATAACTCGTACTATTTTATTTGAAAGTGAAATCATCCTTTACTCTCCACATGTATTTGAGGGTCATAGATGATTATCAGAGAGTGAAGGTTTGGGACTCAGACCACGATTGACTAGGACGGACTGTACACTGGTCTACAAATCGTAGATCCTGTCAATAGAAGAGGTCTTCGAGATTGATCAAACACTGCCTTCCACGAAAGGACTCCATGAGTCGTATAAGGGGCTACGATCTGTATATCATGAGCTGTAGATACTGCCGAACCTCCTTTTTTTTTAGATTTGCTTTATTTAGGATTAGATGTCTATAAATACTTTTCTTAGGCTTTAATTTTTATTATTCATTCGTTTTTGGAGTTTGAGAATTATTAGCGAACTACTTTTGCTATAATTCTTGAATTCATTGACTTTTAATATAATTTTTTATCTTTGATTATTACTTTGCAATTCAATTCAAGATTTTGGAATTCAAACGTTTATTTTGTAAGTTCATGATTTTTTAAAACTCAATTATTATGAATTGTGATCAAATAACTATGAGTAGCTAATTCACAACTAGGGTTATGGGAAAGATGAAGAATTAACAATGTAGACCTAATAACTAGTAATTCTTAAATAGTGTTCATGCATGTATTATTTTTTTGTCCGCTTTGATTGCTTTTTAACGGAGTCCTACGTTAGAACATGCCTTATTCTTACTCGCCAGATTAAGGGGGTAACGAATGGGAAAAGAGATTATGCAACGAAGATTTGAGGTTATTAACCCTCATCTAATAGCTTGAACGGACCAAGGGATAACATATTTGGGATCAAGGGTAAGGGTTAGTAAAGCATACACTCATAGACGGACCAAATTACGTGGTGAAATTCACTTATTTAGGTTCCCATCCACCTAGCTAGGTGATACATAACTTATCGATCTTGCATGGTAGACACTAGACAAGGTTACTACTATAAGGTTTACTGAGTTAAGAACTCGTGGGGTCTTCGATTGATTTTACAAAAAAAAGAAAACAATTCTGTTACTTTGATAATTGTTACTTGCAATCATTTCAATTAATATTTGTTCTATGAAACTGCCTTTACGGAAATAACACGACTAAGAGCACAAGTAATAACAATTAAGCTAAGTTTGAACCTCATTTCTCGTGGGATTAGTTGGGGTCTTTATTTAGACAACGATTGCTTTATACTTTTTTTTGGAGGTGATCAAATTTTGAAGTCATTGCCGGAAGTAAGACTTAGATTAGATTAATTGTGTTATTTGACTATTAATCATTATTTACATTTTTGTTTTTGTTTTTGTTCAATACAACTTTTTCTTTCTGTTCATACATGTTGAAGTTCTAGTACATGTTAAATGTGCGGAGTCAAAACATACTCCTAATTCTATTTGATCTCGAAATCCAAAAAGCTCTTATGCGTGTGGTAAGACCGGTGGCCTTCAAAATCAAGAAGGAGTCGCAGAATGGACAAACAAGAGAATAATCAGTCATATCTTCTTTTGAGGTACCCAAGATGCACCTCAGAATGTTCATAACAATCAACTGACAGTGAGAGACCGCCCTTTACCTCCACCCAGACATAGATCCAAGATGTGCACAACTCAAAATTAATGTTCAACAGAATTCGGTACGTGGAACAAGACAGAATAGTTACACTACTTTTATATTCAAACTCGGTATAACCTCTGGATACAATTGTTTGCTATTTTAATTTCCAAGCAACGATAGAATTGCCAAGTTTAATGAGATTACATGTTCTTTTCTATCATAAACAAGATACATTTCTTACTTTGATAATAACTTTACCTCACTATGAAATGATTTTTTAGTTCTTTTCAATAAATTAATGGATTAAAACAAATAGTGTAGTATCATTAATAAAAACATAAGTCTTTAACTTTACATAATATAATATTATTGCTAACAATATTTATATTGATCAATATTAGATCAAGTTAATAGGATGTTAATCATTTATTTGCAATATATATTATTGGATGATGTTGTATGAAATTTAATTTACTAATATGAAGGTGTGGATAGTTTAATTCAAAATTCTAAAGTATAATCTAATATAAAAACTACGCACTTTTTTCTGTAAAGTTTTTTTTTATTATTTATTTTTATTAGACTTTTATATAATTTAAGCAAAAAGAAACTACAAAGATCCTTATTAATTAAAATTTAAGGCTTCTTTAGCCTCTCCTTGAGTCACCCTTATGTTAGACGTAGAAAATGAACCATATTTGATTGATGGAACAAGAGATAATCACTTTTTGTGACAATAAATTTTCATAAGATTAGAGATATCTGATAATTGTCTTGTAATCATTTTAATTTTTTCAACAAAGAAAAAGAAGAAAGACTTATATTCGGGATGAAAAGACTATTGTATGTATCATGTGTCATATAATTAAAAAATGTAACTAGTTATTACTATGTTGACTAGTTTATCTTTATAAAGTTATGTATATTTGAAACTTTGTAATCGCAAATATTTATTTATTAGGGTAACCACAATCAAAGAAAGATATCAATTAATTAGGTTAACCACAACCAAAAAAAGAGATCAATTAATTACCATGGCTATGCCTATATATATATATATAGTTGTAGCCCCGTGTCTACAACTACCTATATCGAGAAGATAACACCTTTCTATCCACTATGTGTTTCCCTCCGATGCTAATCTCAACCATCTTAACATAATAATTATTATTATCTAACATCTTAACACCGTTCATACGATTGATACAAAAAAGAAAACCCCTCCTATTTGTGTGGCTACCAACTCCATACCGTACCCTAAATCAAATATATCACTATACTCAAACCCAAATTCATCCAAATTTACAGTATTATATCTACTTCACCCAAAGATTACGTTTGGGAACACTCTCTAGTGATGGGTTTGAAAGAATCAAAGGCATCATGCGAAAGCTTATAGTTGCAAATCAGGATAACATAAATCAGAAGACAAAGAAAAGCATAGTCAAGTGACCTATATATTGAAAACTTAATTAATATAAAAAAGCATAAACATGTTGGGAGAAAATCTCCCCCTATACAAAACTCGGTTACATTGTGGATGCTCTTGCCGTGTTTTTTGGTATGAGAAGAGGAGTATTCCATTTATAAAGTTCCAAAAAAAAAATCTAAGGAAAAAATAACCAAATATATATGGAAGACAATTATATATATTTTTCTTTTAGAAAAAAGTAAAAACAATTATTGTAATGTTTTGACTTTTCTTTGAGGGAAAAGTAAAACTCGAATATGGTAAAAAAATCAGGACAAAATCATAACATTCCGCACTCATTGTCATGAGGTTGTGAAATGAAGAGTCCCCTTACTAAGAGTTTCGATAGATAAACTACCATCTATGTATTCTACTTTGATTGATATTTTTTTTCATTATAATTAACCTAATTATGCAAGATTAGTGATAAAATAATATGAAAATGTTACAATCAAGAAGAAGGTTGGAGGTAGTTTGCAACTTACTTTGTGTGCTTCTTGCATTCCACAACATATTCCCTTAGTTAATCTGAAAAACAAAATTTATGAAATCATCAATCAACAAATGAGCGAACTGTCCGTTTTGACGTGTGTTTTTAGAGAAGATTCCTTTTGGTGTTTAGAATTCAAAAGATGTCTGTTTTTGTGTCGGACTCCCTAGTCAATCTAAAAAACAAATTTAGCAAATCATCAATCAACAATTATATGCATTCCATTCATATATATTCCATATCGGCACGAAGGTAGTTGATTTTTTCTCTTCAAAAGTATATAGTGTTATTAGTTGATAGTATATTATTGGTATCATACAATTCTATATGTTCCTAAGGGCTAAGAATTAATTATTGTTTGTTTCAAAAAAGTATTTTATCTTATGCATATATTATTGTCTCAACATTTAAAGGTGCAGTCTAGTAATAAAAAGATGAATGTAAGTTTTTGGTGGATCATGCGGATCGACTCGATCCGAACCTAATTTGCTTTATTTAATTTCTTAAGAAAAGATTTAAATAAATGGATAAAGTTGTTTTTGAAAAGAAAAAGGAACGGTTAAGAAGTTGTAACTGTTCAAACCTAAAATGAG